CACCCGCTTGCAAAACAAAGCAACCCTCGGGAGGACCACTGACAGTCTTGCCAGCTAGTGTTTGCTACCAGCGGTTTGCTTCCGGGTGTCTCCGTCCTTCGTGGAGAGTAAATATTAGAGATAGGGTTTTGACATGTCAGTAGAAAATATTACACTTTATCTGCGTGCTGAAACAAAATCAGCAAAGTAAAATGTCTACTTTACCTCCTCCAAAAACACCTTTAAAAAAGATTCACAACGCGCGCTAGCACTTTTTAGCTGAGGCTTGTTCTCCTCAGCTGAATTTCGTTACTGTAACGCAGCTAACTCGAATTTTATGTCTGCCCTCAAATGACATCTGTTTCTGCTCATGGATTCATTTCAGTTTAAAAAAAAAAATTACTCATTCTGAGCGGAAATCTTACAAACGAAATGCACAGAAACTGGTTAATTCGATAACTACTCTTACACTGTGATTCACTGATTAGATCAAGCTGTTGCTGAAGATTTCGTAAATGCATCCGATTGTGCCGTCCGTTCTGCAAATATTTCGCTCTTGCTCATCTTCTAGCTTGATCTTATATTTAGTAATAGTCTCAAAACAGTCAACTCTGCTGGTTTTCCAACCACTTCAACGTTGAAATATTTTTTTTGATTTCCACTCGGTTACACAGCAGTTTGACCGCCTGCGGGCTTTTCCCTCCGAAATCGCAGATCTGTCAGGAAGTAGGAATCTTCCAAAAAAATCTTGCACAAGCAGAATGTTTAATCTCTATCGAGCACTCTTACTGATAACATTATCCGGATGCCGTCTCAAAGACAATTTCTATTTTGCTTGCAATTTCAAGAAAGATAGGGAAGCAAGCGAAACAAGTGCCTGTTGGTGCAGTTGCATTTTAATTAACTAGTCTTTGTTCTGAAGCTTGCTGGATAGGCATTCTCTACTGTTTTCGAGATGAAGTTCTCTAATGTTTTCGAGACCAGGTTCATCTGTCCCGAAACACTAGCCTCTAGAACTGGCTTTGTGGTATTAGAAGAAAAATTTTGAAACTCCTGGAAGAGATAAATTCGAAAAGCTGGAATCAGCTTTGTGGTTTGTTTGCACAAATTTAGCACTTCACTGCCCGATGCAGGTATAAGAAAAACACATCAGAAGTGATTGGTGGCCGATCGCGGCTGTGCCTCGTGGATCTGGGGCTTGGTGAACGAACATCGAAGGGCGATGTGCATGCGATGACAATGCCCGTCATCACCAACCTGCTCGTTGCGCTGTTTCAAGGACAACGCTATCTTCCAAGCAGGTTCAATACGCACAAGCTTATTTAAAGTCTTGTCTCAGCACTCATCCTTGCGCTGTGGTGAAAAAGTTGCAAAAACGGGCAAATTTTAACAAAGATGAGAACTGAATGTCGGAAGAGGGATAAAATTCGAGAGATAATAACACCACTCGACGATTCCATTTCGTCATCGTTATCAGTTCATTGATTAAATGCATTTTTCTGCTGGGATAAAACAGGGTTTGCACCTTTGGATAAGAATAGGACAGAGTGGAGGACATAGGAAGCACTGGCGCAGTAGGATTTCTTTCAAAAGGAGGCATATTTGGGAAATTTGTTTGGAAAGCTGCTGTTTTCGAAACTGTATAAGAGTGACGATTTTTTTTTTTGCTTGTTACTGACCAGTCTCTAATAATAAATGAAGTTCACAGATACTACTTAGCT